AATTTTTGAGAGTGGGAAGTGTTGGGAAGTGAAAATGGAAGCATTTGCGATCATTCTGATTCAAAATCATATTGGGCCATTTTCTAGCAGAAACCGGTCCCGGTTCTTTGCCACAGTTCGAAAAGTTGCTAATGGTGACTTTTTTCGAAAAAAGATCATTGCCATCCGTCACACTGCCACATGACTATATGTGTGTACGTCCGTCACACTCACTGGTCACTATATGTATGTACGTCCGTCACATGCGAACGCCGACGCCGACATTTATTTCATATGACCCTAGACTTTCAGTCAAGGGAATAAATATCAATTGTCCCGGTCCATTTTGTCTTTTCTTGCTGTTCAACCGAATGCTTGTTATTCAATTCGATAAGTTTCCGGTAAATATGTTAATAGAACATGTAAACCACCTCTGTTACTTAAATATTCTAGAACTTTAATGTCTGTACCTGGACCAGCTGAATTTGTTACAATAATAATTTTTCCATTATCTAATCCTTCATTTGCAATAGAAAATTTTTCATAACTTCGTTTATAAACAAAAATATTTGATGAATAATCAAAATTTCGCGTGTCATCCTTGAGCAGAGGCCATGCTAATTTTCTCTGTTTCGTTCTAATTTTATTATATGTCCCGGACGAATCGGGACAATAATCAAAATCGGTAAGGAAGGTGCTACTGCTTTCCTTGTCTTTTTTCTTGTTCTTCTTCAGCATATTGTTTAAACGATTGTTTTATTTGTTCTACATCTTTAATTGTTTCACAAATAATTATAATGGGTCGTTTGTTTTTTCCTGTTACTATTTTCATTGCTGTTTTAACAATTGTTTTTCCATTGTTCAATATTTTTAGTAAAAATATGATGAAGTGGTGGTGCATTCCAGTGAAGCATGACTTCTTTATCGAGGGAGTCGTGATGGAGAGCTCGATCTCCATGAATATGTTGCTTCAAAATCGAGGCGGCACTCCCACACACAGCTTCACTTCGAATTTTGACAACCATTAAGGCGTAAAAATGTAGGAACTGTTCGATTCCGCTCGCCAGATCCGTATTTGTGAAG